TTGCCCGAATGGTTGTCAAGAGAGCCGTGGTGGAGGGGCTCAGTGATCGGAGGTGCGTGTGCGCCGTGTCTGGTGCGAGAAGACGGGTTGGTCGGACGCGGAGCCGACTTCGGACGGGACAGCAGATCGGCCGAACGTATTCTGAGGAGGCAGAGGAAGATGGACGGCCGGGGCTATGGACACGAGGAGCGGAGAGAAAAAGGTCATCAAGGCCGGCACACCAGCAGTTTTAATGTTGAGTCTATGCACATTAACATTCCTGTAGATGATGCCATACAAGACCTGCAATCCACACTAGACCAACATGCGGAGATTTTGATGAGCACGAAGTTGAGTAAAGGGTTAGCAATGATACTGACCAACCTAGCGAGGTACTGTACATATTTCACCTTTTGTGTTAAACTGCACCATCAAACACGAGGTTTAGCTATGGGATCGTGTTCGTCACCAATTTGAGCAAATAATTGCATGCTACAATTTGAGGAATATACAAGTCAGGAGGCACTTTTAGTCACTAAATTATTAGTTTGCTATTTGGCAACGTGGAAAAAAAGACCTGGAGAATTTTCTTCGATTGATGAACATAATGGATGGGAAGACGAAATTCATCATCGAGTTGGAAAAGGAATGTGGTTTACCTTTTCTTGATGTCCTAGTTGGCAAAGAGGGGACCAAATTAGGTCGAGGTGTGCATAAGGAACCCACAAATGCAGGTTTCTTTTTTAGTGTCTTCTTCAACCACGCTTATGCGGTTAAAGTAGGAATTATAACGTCTGTAATAATAAGCAGCCTGCGTCTGGCAGATGTTGAACATCGAGACCAGGAAGTGAGGAGACTAAAGCAAATTATGTTTGAGAATAATTATCCACGAGGGCCGGCTGACAACTATTTTTCAATATTGTCAAATAGAATGAAGGAAATACATATTTGGGGCTAGATCAAATGATAGATGACTCTACCGGAATTCTTATGCTGTCATCGTATTATCTGTCGGAGAAGATGAGCTAATTTCTGAGGAGGTGGGACGCCAGGACAAGGAATATCAGGTATTTTGCATATCACATTCTGTGCTGGGATTGTCGATGAAGCAAACCTATATATTTGCTATAGCAACCACAACATTACTTTTTTCGTTATTGAATGTCGAGATTGCACGCTGCACTGTAATGCTTCGACTCCCGCTGTGGATGTTGGTATGACCTATGCGAGGTCGAACCTGCAGTCCACTCTGAATGAGAGCACCTTTGGGAAAGCTAGATTATTTGCAACCCAGTGGAGACTGCAGCTCTACTCACATGATTGTAGGAAAATGCAACTACCAGTCCTACATTGCCTTGAACTAAATAGGCTGAACACAACTCATTTATATGATTTACTTGATAATGAATAAGATAGGCCACGTGATCTTAAATCACAACTGAATTGTCAACTGAGTCAACAAATATTTGTCATTACAATCTGAATCATTTAGTCTGGGCGTTTCGAAGGTATCGGTAATTCTCGAATAAGAGGTGAATTCTAGTTCCTCCTGCTTGAACGATGTTGATTTCAGCTCGCTACTTTGACACTCCATTTACTCATGACAGTTGAGCAGAAGAAAGAGAATGAGTGAATTTTCTACTCCATTTTTACGGCCAGCAAATATGATCTAGCCGATCTCGGTCCGCGTTTCCATTGCACAACTAGCGACTCAATTGTAGCTATGCTCGAATAATAAATTATATCCCATGCATAATTGGCAATCGGGATAGCAGACAGTACCACGAGCCGTTACGAATACAAAGCAACGTAGATCAAGACAAGAAGGCTATTCAGGCGGGGGTCGTTTTTTATAATCCCAGCGGGGCCGTCGCGGCAACTGCGCGCCAATGAAGGCATGAGTGCACTGCCTCGTTAACGTGGGAGAAAGAATCCAGTGTTGGAACTGAGAACGATGAGGACTTTTTCTCTTTTATGCGTTTTTGGCGCAAAAGGAAACAACAGAGCCTCAAGAGTACACACAAAAAAGCTTGAACCAGCGGGCAATTAGGCTATACTTGTATGGAACATCATTCTACTTAACCTAAAGTGTTTTTTACAGACATTCCTTGGTACAATCCGATTGGCATATTTACCTCAAAAGATAAGACTCCAATTTGACGAGTTGTACACCCTGACCCGTCCTGATACCTGATGGAAAGATAAAGCATTACATAGTCATCATATGTACAGAGCCAATTGTCTGTGCGTTCTTGATGCGAGTGATTGAGCAAGAGGATAGAAATGGAGGATAGCTGGAGCAAGGCAACCACGTGAACTTGCTGGGGTTGTGTAGCCAGCATAGTGGCGCCAGTAAATGGAACGCTGCAAAGGCACTATCGCAGATTCAGGAGGGAAGAAGAGATGCCCAAGCGAGTGGCCCGCGTTAAAAAAGGCTAGCTTCTGACATGGAGTAAGACTGCGGCTAAGTTGACAGCATGAAGGAGAGAGGCTGCAGGCTGTAGGTGAGAAAAGCGTCGCGACTTTCCACGGGCGGAGCATCAGGCAACGGCGGAATGCGAATGTTTATGGAATTTCTTGATCAGCTACAGCTTGTGCCATTTGATTCAGGCTATTCTGGTTACGGTCTCAGCGTCTAAACGACATCGACAAGTGCATGTCTTATGCTTCTTTGTATTCACACTATTTCGTTTAAGATGATGAAGGACTGGTAGTAGAATTTTCCCACAATCATAGGAGTAGAGCTGACGTTTTCATTCAATTTCACATCGCATTGCTTTCCCAAAAGTTGTTTTCATCCGGGCAAAAGGCCTGGCCTTCCTTGACATTCACATCTGCCCTGTGACCCAAGGGCACTCGTGGCAATGAGGTCGAGTGGTTAACATGTCAAGCTCCAATTCTGCACTGTCATGGTTCGACTCCCGCTGGGGGTGTTGATAAGGTCGATGCGATGGCGAAACTGCAGTCCACTGGTGCTTGGAAGCAAGGCAATGTGAAAGTGAATGGAAACGTCAGCTTTACTCGCATCATTGTGGGAAAATTCTACTACCAGTCCTTCATCACCTTAAGCGAAATAGGGTGAATACATTTCATATTACTGATTTACTGGTAGTCTCGAAAGTCTACTAAAATACGAGAAATTATTCTTCTTTGTAATGGATATACGATAGATTGGCAGATTTAGCGAAGTAAAAGCCTAAGGGATGAGTCAACACAGAAATTACAAGCAAACCTCATAATGGGCATACCTGACAGAGAATATTTTAAAAAATTATGCAAATTGTGAACTAATTAATCCGCTGACCTGATCATTCCGCACATAGATGCGCTAATAAATAATAAATCAAACTAGAAGTTGTTTGACCTTGTTCGCAACTTGGTCAAATTGGTAGGAAGACTTG